CGGGGGGAGGGCGGCTGGCCTCTCCCCAGGTCTCCACCTTCGAAAGGACGGGTTTGAGGGCGCAGTGCAGCGGCCACACTGAATCCCGATATTTGGGGATACGTAGAAGCGAATTAAGATTACAGGACAGGACCCAAAGACCCAGCGTGAAGCCGAGCCCCTGGGGGCCTGGCCGGTGTCCCCTGTGCCTTGTGTCCTGCTGGCTCTAACTTTACAGACTGGGAGAGAGAGCGGTCAGCCCTTACCGGGTGCCTGTCGTGTGCTGAGCGGTCACACGTAAGGCTCAGTTCCCACCACCCGCTTTGGGCGGGTGTTTTGCCTGTCCAGCCTCAGTGCGGTTTGGTCATGCAGGGGACAGTAACTTGCCCGGGCCATGCGGCCAGGAAGGGGACAGCAGGATCTGACTCTGGGCCTCTGTCAGTGGGCGACCCAGGCTCCGAGCTCTCTGACTCTGGGCATCCGGAGTGAGATGCCTCGGGGGCGGCAGCCAGGTGCACCCCTGCCCCTCCGGTCCCTCGGCGGGGAGCCGAGACGCTGCCCAGGGTCTGAGCTCCGAGCCTGGAGGCAGAGTGAGGGCTGAGGCAGGGACCGCCAGGGCTGCTGGGACGGGTGTGGCGGGCGGCTCGGTTCAAAGCCCACCTTGCTGGGCCCTGAAGAAAACCAAACTCCTCTCCTGGCGCCTCGACGCACCTGTGCCCTCGCCCCCGAGCGCCCCCGTGCGAGACCGTCTCCCCCGGACGCTGTTCCTGGAGGCAGGAAACCCCGCCTTCTCTTGTGTCCTTCCCCCCCCACCCCAGCTCCCCGTCGAGACTCACGGTCTCTTTGTCCAGGGCAGAGTGAAGGCCCTCACGGGGCGTCCTGTGGCTCGGGGTCAGCCCAGGCCGTGGCCTCCTCCGTGGGGTGCAGTGCAGCCTGGGGGGCTCGAGGGTGCAGGGGTCTGAGAGGGGCCGACTTTCCTAGCGACAGGAGTGCAGACCCTCCCTGTCCCCCCCAGCTCAGGGCCCTCCTGACCCGCATTTCCGGGCAGGGTCTGGGGTGACAGTACCCCAGAGCCGCAGGGCACAGCGGCCAGCTGCCCGGCGCCTGTTCACCGTGCTCACGCCCCTCCACAGTGGTCTGCAAGAAGAACCTGGACAGCACCACGGTGGCCGTGCACGGCGAGGAGATCTACTGCCGGTCCTGCTACGGCAAGAAGTATGGACCGAAGGGCTACGGCTACGGGCAGGGCGCGGGCACGCTGAGCATGGACAAGGGGGAGGCCCTGGGCATCAGGCCTGAGGGGTGAGTGCCCACCTCCCGTGGGCCGTGGCGGGAGGCTTGGGAAGCCGTCATGGCCGGGTCACGTGGAACACCTGTAAGGGCTAGGCCGGCCCGGGGAGCTGGGGTCCTGTGGGAATCAGACAGAGTGACCTGGTCTAGTCCACTTTCACGGGTGAGAAAACTCGCCCAGGGCCGGCGACTTGTGGGGGTCCCCTAGCCAGTGAGGTCTGAGCCAGACCGGCCTCTGGCATCCGTCACCCCTGCTGCGGGAAGTCATGCCACTGAGTCCCCGGCACCCAGTGACCTCTGACCTGCTGTAAACAGCGGCCGTTGGCAGTCAGCCGGGCCGGCCCCTTGGCCCAGGAGAAATGGCCCAAAATGATGGATGCGTTACCACGTGTCAGCCAAGGTCGTGGCCCGCGAGAAGTGATTTATTGGCGGACCCCTCCTGGGGACCGGTGCCAGACCGGCTGCGGGAATGGGGGCCGGGAGGCGGGCGACCCCGAGCAGATGAGCTGGGGCCCAGCGGGGAGGGAGGCGGGGTGCTCCACAGAAACCGGCCTCGGTCTGTGCCTCCGTGAAGTGGGGGAGGGCCTGGTGGCCCGGGGGCTCCAGCCAGTGGCTGAGGCAGAGCCGCCCCGCCCGGCGCGGGGAAGGCGGGGACGGTGCCAGCCCCGCATGTTTCTCAGCGTGTCACCTCACTGCACCGCACGTCCCCCTGTGCAGGGCCCCTGGCCACAAGCCCACCACCAACCCCAACGCCTCCAAGTTTGCCCAGAAGATGGGGGGCTCCGAGCGCTGCCCCCGGTGCAGCCAGGCGGTCTATGCTGCTGAGAAGGTGATTGGCGCTGGGAAGGTAAGTGGCTGCCGGGGTCATGGGGAGGCGGAGGGGACGGTGACGTCATGGGGGGCCGGGGGGCCGGTTCTCAAGATGGGAGTTCCAGAACTCTGCACGTCTGGCCCCAGCTCCGCTCAGAGGGTCTGAGCCCTGTGCCATCCCTCCCTACCTTCGTTTCAAAGCCACCACAAAGGGGTAACCCCTTGTCCCTGTGCCTCCCAGGCCCCTCCGAGCTCGTCGCCCTGGAGCCTGGCAGCCCCAGCAGGCTGGGCCTGACCGTTCGAGGCCCACGAGCGTTGCTAGGGGCTTGCGAAGAGCCGTCGTGTCTGGCTGGAGACCGCAGGCCTGGAAGGGCACGAGCGCGGGGTCGGAGGGCACAAGCGCGGGGTCGGAGGGCACGAGCGTGGGGTCGGAGGGCACGTGCGCGGGGTTGGAGGGCACGCGGGCCCCGCGGTTGCACATTCCGCGGGAACGTCTCTGGGAAGAGCCTCGGTTTTGTGATCCCAGCACACACCCTGTGTCAGAGGGTGTGGACCCCCAAGACCCCACTAAGCCTCCAGGGCAGGGATTTTCGAGGCTCAGGCCCCTTAGGAGGTGTCTGCGAACTTTTAACTGCCAGGCGAGCCCTTCCCGTGACGTCGCAGCCGCGGCCCCAGCCACGCAAGCCTAGTGACGCTGTTGTTAGTGTCCCTGCCCACCCCTGGGGTCTGCGCTGAGGTCAGGATGAGGAGCCACTGCTCAGCCGGTGTGAAAACGGGACGTACGAATGTCACAGTCGAGTTGGTGTCTTTTCGGCCGCGTCTCCCTAGGAGATGAGAAAATTCTTGGAATCGCTAAGAATCGATATGTCGCCATGGAGCTGGGCTCTAGGTTAGGGCTCAGGCCGTTCTTCTCGGGAGTCGAGAGAAGAGACTTCACGTTCAAGGAGGAGGCCCCACCCTTGGCCTTAGCCGGAAGAGAGATGTCTGGGAATGGGGGTGCTTGGGGGTGCTGGGCTTAGGGGCCGCCGGGAGGTGCTGATTTAGACGGAGGGCGGGGCCTCGTGTGAGTCTGGAGCGGCCGAAGCAGAGGCCGAAGCAGGCGGGTGGCCGCCGGGGGGCTGGGCGCGGGGAGAACCGAGGTCTGCTGAGCTCTGCAAGGGGCCATGTGCCTGGTCTGGCAGCCGGGAGCTCCCAGGAGGCCCAGCTTCCTCTCTGCCTCCCGCGCAGACACGGGGGCTGTGCTCACAGAGGCTCTGTGCCCTTAAAAGGCCTTGTTCTGTCCTGCCTGGACGTCGCCCGCCCCTGCAGAGCTGTCTGCACGTCAGCCAGGAGCCCGCTCGGGGATGCTGCTGGGGCCTCTGAGAAGTCTCGCTGTCCCTGGGCTGCCTTCTCCCCAGGCGGCTGTCAGCACTGTGTGGCCTCTTGTGGCCCCTGGAGAAGCCGCACCCAGCCTTTCCCTGCCGCGTTCCGTGCACTCACAGACCCGGGTCCCTTCCACCAGACGCCCTGGCTCAGGGCCCCCTGGGCCGGCCTGTCCCAGGCACATTACACTGCTGAAGTCACTCAGTCCCCACAGCTGCCCGGCGAGCGAGGCACCACCTGCCCGTTCCGAGAGGGCATGGCCTTCGGGCACACGAGGCACCCAGATCACCAGCTTCAGAGGCCGGGCTGGCTTGGAAGGTCCCAGTGACACAAGGCTGCCCTGTGGTCAGGCAGCACCCACCTCAGCGTCGTCCTCACAGCCATCGTGCAGGATGGGAAGTGTGGACCCGTGCCACTGGTCAGGGCAGGGCCAGGACGGGCCCGTGCCCGCACACGGATCCCCACGGGATGCCCCGCCTTGGGCAGTGATACCGCCCTTTGTGGTGCAACGGGTGCCACTGGCCGTCTGGCCACTTGAGGATGGCGTGAGGTGCCGTGTGGTCCCTGGCCTGCTCCCCCCACTGGCCAGGCCGTGTCCCCACAGTGGCACCAGCTGAGCAGACTTCAGGAGCGTCCTGAGCCTCGCACGGCTGTTCTCATGTCAGGGGCTGGGGCTGGGGGCGGGGACACCCTAGTCACTGGTGGTGGCATTGACTGTTTCCTTCCCGCCCAGTCCTGGCATAAGTCCTGCTTCCGATGTGCCAAGTGTGGCAAAGGCCTCGAGTCGACCACCCTGGCCGACAAGGATGGCGAGATTTACTGCAAAGGTGGGTGGCTTTGCTCCAAGTCAAGGGCCGGGCGGTCGCAGGGGGCGGGGCCGAGCAGTGCTTCCCTTGCTCTGCGAACCAGGTCCTGGCCTTGGGGTCGTGTCCGGAGGGAGCACTGGTATGATGTGCATTTTAGCGGGACAAGTCCGGAGGGAGGACACGACTTGGCCAAAGGCACGCAGCAGACCGAGCTCCTGGCCCCTGCCTGGTCCAGCGTGTCACAGCGGACACACCCCTTCTGCCGGGTGTGTCCAGCACCGGGGCCGGGGAGGGGCCCTCGCGGTCAGGGCTGCCGAGCTGGGGGTCCCAGGGACCTGGCCTCGGAGGCCTGGCCAGGCGCTAGGCAGCGCTTGTCCTGGGCGGGGAGGGGCGCCCTGACCACCCTGTCTCTCCACAGGATGCTACGCGAAAAACTTTGGGCCGAAGGGCTTTGGCTTCGGGCAGGGAGCGGGGGCCCTGGTCCACTCCGAGTGAGGCGGCGCCCACACCCGCCCTGTGCACCCGCTCGCCACTCCCTCCCCGCAGCCTCGGTGACCCCGGGACTCCTCGCTTAGCCCTGACACTTGTCACCAGGGGCTGGAACTTGGTGCCCAGTCCCCGTTGTTGGGGGGTCTGCCAGAGACCCATCCTCTCGGGGGCTCCCCTGCCTGGTGCCACTCACCAGCTGGAGCCTTGGTGGGACAGCCCTCCCCCTACCCCCTGCCCCATAAGCCTCTGTTCTTAGCCTCCGAGGCTGAATGTCCACCATCAGCCGGCCAAGACCCTGAGCCCACATCTCCCAGGCCAGCAGGGAGGGAGGCGGGGCCAAGGCGGGCCAGGGAGGCTCAGGTGTCCTGGACCCCAGAGATTCTCCTCTGTAGGAAAGAAGGTTGCTTTTTGGTGTCCCCAGAATAGGCCTAGGGAGTCCCAGCTTGGGAGTCACGGTGGGGAACAGGCAGGCATGTAGACAGGGTCGTGGACTGTCGCGGCCAGTTGCTTCTGGAGGCCCTGGCCTCGGAGGCTGTGGGGGACGGTGTCCTCCCCTCGGGATGGGAGAACAGCCAGGTCTGAGAACCCCAGCACCGAGTCCCCTGGGACGGGGTCCTGATGAAACACCCCAGCACGTACTCCTGTTCACCAGGGGCCCAAATCGAGGGCAGCCCGCTCCGCCCTGGACCCGGAGCCCCGAGGTGGCAGTGGCAGCCCTGCTGTCCCCACACGGCCCGGGCCAGTTCTGTCCCTGCTCCGGCCACGCCTGCCTGACCCTCAGAGGCGGACGGGGACACCGCGTTGGTCTCCCCGGACGCCCCTCCGCTCCCACCCCACGCTGCCCAGGGACCTTCCTGGCCACGTCACCCCTCCCTTCCAGGCCCCCAGCAGCAGCAGCAGGAGCGAGGCCGAGGGGCCTGGTGGCTCCCCCCTCACCTGAAGGGCTGTAGGCACGGGCTGTATTCAAGCTGATCCCTCACCTGGTCAATAAAAGCGGTTAGAACAGAGCTCTGGCGTCTGGTCCTGTGTCCGCCCCCCGCCCGGGGCCGGGGGAGCCTGATCGGAGAATGACAGCAGCCGGCCTCAGAGTGGTCTGTTCCTGCCTCCGTCCTCGCTGCCTGGAGAGGCCTGGCCACCCCGTCCCCACGGCCAGTCCGCCACCCCACGTCTGGGCGTGGAACTCGGGGCTTTGGAATTTGAGGGGCTCGGCGAGGCCCCCAGACTGCTCAGAACATCTCTCGGTTTGGAAAGCCCCGGCAGGTAGACGAGCTCGGCCACGTCAGAAACCTCCCTCCTGTAGGGGGAGGGGGGCCTGGCTCGCCCCCGCTGTGCCGTGAGGGCCCGGCCCTGCTCTGGCCGCTGTAACACCGTAAGCAACAAACAAATCTGCTTCTCAGCGCTGGAACCTGGAAGGCCGAGATTGGGGTGCCGGCTGACACGGCGGCTGGTCAGGGCTGGCTTCCTGGTGGCCTGGCTGTGGCCTCCCGTGGCGGGAAGGGCCAGGGAGCTCCCAGAGGTCTCGCACAAGGACACTAATCCCGTTTCTAAGGGCTCTGCCTTCGTGACCTGATGACTTCCCCACGCCACCACTTTGGGGTTAGGGGTTCAGCCTGTGGGTTTGGGGGGACAGACACGTGGCCTGGCAGCCCCACGGCCGAGGGTGGCCATGCCCCTCGTCCTGGGCACTGACGGGTTGGGGGCCTGCTCTGCCCTCGCGAATTTGCAGAATAGCCCCCAACGCTCAGCCGCTCTGACGGCAGCGAGCCTCGCGGGCTCCACGCCCCGAGGACCCGGTCCACCTGCAGTGGCGCTTCAGAGGACAGTGCTGCCCAGGCGAGGGACATCGGCAGGGCCCAAGGGGCGAGTGGCCACCCTCGAGGTCTCCGGGAAGGGTTTGTGCGTGGGGAGGAGGGAAGGACGGTGGCTCCACACCCGGCTGCGTCCACTTCCTGCTCTGCGAGACGCCCACAGGAAGGGCCAGGCTGGCGACAGGCTGCCCTCTGCTGGCTGCTCGGGCAGCCTCTGCGCCCCAGTGCGAGGCCATCCTGGCCTGTGCCCCTGAGCCGACTTCCGGAGCAACCCCGTGGTGGGGAGTGGGCTGGACAAAGTGGGGTAGAGGCAGAGGTCAGTGGGGTGCGGGGGGGGCGGGGAGGGACCGGCTGGGAGCACCGTGAGGTGGCGCCTGTTGCAGGGATGCCCAGGGCCCGCTCTGCCGGGAGGCACCAGGTGGCGCTGTGGGGTCGGGCGGGAGGCAGGCGCTCCTCTCCCGGGCACCTGGCCGGTGCTCACCTGGAGCCCCGGGTGACAGACAGCTTGTCCCTCGGAGGATGGGCCCTAGGGGGGCCAGTGTCCCCCCGCACCACGGGACTGACCCACGGAAGGCGGCGTGACCTCTGTCCATAGCGGCACGTCCTCTCCTGGTTCTCTGCCGTCTGAGCCGGGCACCCGGGGAGCCTTGGGGGGGACGTGCTGTGCCCCAGATTCAGGAAGCTCCCCCACTCAGAGCCCTAGTACCCCGTTTGGGTCGCCTGAGGGCCGAGGACGGATAGGGACCGGACAGAGGGCCATCAGGTGTGGGGATGATCAATCCATGAGCAGGAAATCCTCCGGGAGGGGCAGATGTCCAGCCAGGACGGTGCCCAGACCCGGGCAGGGGACGGAGGCGAGCGGAGCCCAGGAAGCGCCCTCCGCAGCTCGGGGTAAGCCGCTGGGTGGTGCTCACCCTCCTGCCAGCCCTGCCCTCCTCTAACCCCCCAATTCTGAGCATCCTGGGGAGGCTTTAAAGGGAATTCCCGGCCCCACCCGAGGGCCTCTGCTTCAGTTGGCCCGGACGGGACCTGGGGACCTGCACTCACAAAGCCCCCAGGAGATTCTGGTGCTCGGGCTCAGCCCAGTTGAGGATGTGGGGACGAGTCCAGCCCCGGCCAGGGTCACCTCCAGCCCGCAGTCTGCCCTGATGGGCCAGCCGCGCAGCTCCCCTGAGCTCGGCGTCCCACCCGGCAGCTGGGCCCTGGACGGGTCTCATTAGAGAGGATGTTCTGGAACTTACTATTTCTGTCCATGAGAGTCACCTCCTGCGTGACAGCGCGCCACGGATTTGAAGACAGCTGCCTGCCCGCCCGCGTCCGCCCCAGGACAAGCACCCCTGGCCTCTCGGCGGACCCTGGCTGAGGCATGAGCAGCCTGGTGGGGCCACTGCATCAGCTGAGAAGCGGCGATGGGGGTGCGGGCTGTGGGGGCGAGGGCCGGACCTGCAGAGTGTCCGCGGGTGAAGCAGGGGTGGTGCCCTCTGAGAAAGGCCTTCCCCTGCCCGGCGGCTCCCCTCCACCTCGCTCCCGGCCTCTCTCTGTACGTTTTGGAAGCATCATCGCCCGTCAGCCGCCGTGGGCCACAGCCCACTAGGAGCCCGAATCCTCAGAGTAACCACGTGAGGTCGGTGCTGTCGGAATCCCCACCAACGGAGGATCAAACGGGACCCAAGAACCAAAGGACCATTTCGGGACCGGCTCACGGTCAGATGGCAGAGCAGGATGTGGATGCGGGCGGCCGGCCCGGAGGGGCGGGAGGCGGGCGTGGCGCTGGGGCAGTGAGTTAGGCCCAGCGGTAGCTAACGCTGACCGAGCACATGCCCCGTGCGGGCACTGGCCTACGTGTCAGTGCCATGAAGAGGTTATGTGATCCGTGCATCAAAGAACAGGAATCTGAGATTCAGTGAATTTTTAGGCGACTTAGTCAAAGTCACTGGCAAGCAGCGGAGCCAGGACTGGAACCAGCCCTGTGACTTCGGGCCAGACTCCTCCCCTCGGGGTGAAAAGAAGCCGCTGGCCTCATTAGCGCTGGGGGAGGCGTCTCAGGCTGCAGCGGGCAGGGAGCTCTGGGCCTCGTTAAAATGCAGATCCCATCCGGGCGTTTGGGTGGGGCCTGAGACCTGGCTTCTCCCAGGGAGAGGTGGTGCTGATGCTGTGACTCTGAGCACGCTGGAGCTGCCAGGCCCTGGGCACCTGCCCAGCTCCCAGGTTCTGAGTTTACGGGCCTGGGAAGGCTCGCCCCAAAGGCCAGGAGCATTCGGGAAGCGGCTCATCTCAAGAAAGCCCTTAGTGGGCACCCTCGTGCCTGGACCAGCCCCGAGCCTCTGCATGGCCATGCTGTGGACCACCAACTTGGTCGTGGGCCAAGGGGCGTTGCTTCTCCCTGCCTCCTGGGGACACCCACTGGTCGCCTGGCGGCCGCACTGCTGGTCACGCTCATGCCCCATCTTCCGGGCACATGTGGGGTTACACTTCTCCTCCCTTGAAGTGAGATGTGGCTACGTGGCCCACCCTGGCCTCTGAATTGAGACGAAGTGTCACTCGGGGGCAGAACTTAACGGCCGCCGTGGAAGTCATCGTGCCGCTTTTCCCAGGGAGCATCGTGCACGCACCTGCACACGCTGTGCTGTAGCCCTAAGCGAAGCCCCTAATGCGTGAGCCGGTCGGTCCTCGGTCACCGTGCTGCGGCCATTCTCTTTCCAAACGGCCTGTCCACCGGGCCCTGGGAGGGACCTCCCCTGCCAGGGTGTGGCGCCTGCGGGGCGGGCACTTCACCTTTGCTGGGTCCAGCCGCCGGGACTCGGGGGAGTTCGGCAGGGGAGCCCACCGCAGCCCGGCCTGACGAGCACACGCGCCAGCATCGGCTGTGACGTGGGGATTTCGCTCAGGTGCTGTGTGCGCTGCTGGGGGCTGTGGCCCGTCACAGAAGGAACGCTTGCTCTGGCATCCTCTCCCGTCAGAGGGGGCTCCCCGAGGACGGGAAGGCCCCCTCCCATCGTTTTGCCAGTCCCCACAAAACAGAACTGTGTCCCCAGAGCCTGGCTCACGGGACACTCGGCTCGCACCTGTGTCCAGGTTTGTGTGGCCCCGCGGGCAGGCTGGCTCAGGGGCCACTTCTCCGAGTATCAGCCAGTCTTCTTCTGAGGCCCTTGCCCCTCAGCCCGGTGTCTCCGAGGACAAGGGCCATTCCGGGGCGGCCCCTCTGCTCCTGCAGCACAGACGCCCCGATGCCAGCATGACACGGGAAAAGGGGGAATTCTGCAGGCCCCAACCTGCACCTGAGCCCACAAGTCCAGGCTCTGACAGACCCAGGCTGGGACCAGAGGCCGTCAAGCCCAGACTCGGCCGTGAGAGCAGGGCCAGCGGCCTCCCTGCACACAAAAGGGATGCCGGGTGAATCAGGGCCGCTCTGGGCTGGACGGCGATGAAAGGGCTGAGCGTGGGAGAGCAGCTCCACCGCGGGAGCCAGGCCCGGGCGGGTCGGCTGCTGCCGCTGACGCTGGCCGCTGTCGCAACGGTGCCTGTAAAACGTGGATCTCCAGAGACGTGAACCCCGGGTCCGTGTCTTCCTGTGTTTCCCTTGAGAAGACAGGAGATCCGGGAAACCCCCAGCCCTGGAACGGAGGGCTCCACCTCGAAGGGGTGCGGGGGGTCGGGGAACATCAGGGGAGAGGTCAGCTGGGGGGTCTCCCAGGGAGAGGACGGCAGGGGGCAGCTGTGTGTGGGAGGGAGGCTCGGCAGCAGGCAGGGCTGAGACCCATTTTCCCGAGGAGGGGCTGCCAGACCTAATGACTCGGGCCGGGGTCAGGCTGGCGGGGGCGGCAATGCTCTTCTTGACTTACCTAAGGTGGGGAGACACGATACGCAGGTCCTTCAGCCCCCACGGAGCAGCCGAGCTTTCTTGCACATCTAAGACAGGCCAGACAGTCTTCACGTTAAGGTCAAGGACACCGAGCTCAGAGAGGGGAGGACACAGCTGGGGTTATAACACGGGCGCCCCGCTGAGCGTGCCTTCCTCTACACCAGGTCCCCAAACTCCCGGGGCAGCGGCACCTGCCGGTGGTCTCTTTAAACCCAGACGCTGGGCCCCAGACCCAGGGTTGCTGACGTGGCGGGTCTGGGCAGCACCTGGAGTGTGCGTTTCCAGCACGCTCCCAGGGGACAGTGATGCTGCTGGCCCACTCTGAGAAACTCCGCTCCGGACCCTGGTGACCTGGAGCGTGTTCCATGTTCTGACTGCACCAGTGTGCCACGGAAGCTTCTAGAAATGCACAAGTTCGGGTCTGCTCCAGACTTTCTGAATTGGAATCTGCATTTACGAGATCCGCGGGTCACCCGTTTGCACATTACAGTCTGGGGAGCACCGGCCCGCGACACACGCCTCTTCCCCACAGGGGTCAGACCCGGGACGCCTGGATGAGGGGGCAGGCGGGGGGCCGGAGAGGAAGTTGGGCCTTGCGGGGCGGGCAGGCCCGTGGGGCTGAGGCGCGGGCTTCACCCAGAGGTGAGAAGGCTCTGGTGGGTGTCAGGCAAAGGGGGCGTCATCTTACTTCTCTCAGAAGCGTTACAAGGCAAGTACACGTTCCATTCTGTAAATAAGAATGGAACTCAATCCTACAGATTGAGTCTAACAATTAGTGACCACGAAACAGAATTCATAGCGAGATCTGCAACAAGCTACGCTAGTTTTGTGGCTCCCTGGGTCCCGCCCTTGCCCCCCCCGCCCCCTCATTCCCATCTCTCTTTCCACCAGGCAGTGGACCCAGGCTCCCTGCTGGGCACAGCAAGGGCTCAGACTGAGGAGGGCGTCTCCAGCACACGGTTCCCGGGTCGAGTACGGGTCTCGCCCGGCCCAGCTGGACTCAGATGGACTGGCCTTGGAGATCGGCTTTGCTCAGGGTGGGCAGAGGGCGGAGCCAGCTCTGGGCTGCTACCAAGGACATTCTGTCCAGCAGCCCTATGTGGAGTCAACAAGTCAGTAAGAATTAAGTATCTCTGGGGCCAGCACTGCCACAGCCAAGTGTTGCTCCCGGAAAGGCCAAGTCAGGGGTGGGGTAGGGATACCCTGGCAGGGAGCGGGGCCCAGCCTCTTGTACACCGCTCCCCCTGGCTCGCGAAGGCTTCTCGATCCTTCTGATGGCCCGAGTAATCCACCCTGGGCCTGAGCCTCCTCCGGATGGGGCTAGCAGGCAAGATGCCAACTCTGGGGAAAGATGAGAAATGAGTCCTCCGCCCTAGTCCCAGGAGGTCGTGAGATTGGAGGACAGGACTCCCGGGTTCCAAGGACCTGCACAGGCCCCTGGGGGGTGTGCCATCGCCACGTGTGCGGACGTAGTGGGGTGGGGGTGGGGGCTAGAGAGAGGAGCCCCGGGGGTCTGTGGGGTCCCTAGGTTGGGGCTGTGGGCACCTGGAGCACCCTCCACTCCCAGCGGGGGTGGGGAGTCAGCCGTCCCTTGTGGGGGTGCTCCTGCAGACCACGGGCTGTCGAACTGTGGGTTCTCTTCCCACACCTCCGGGGTTGGGGCTGCAGAGGACGGCACCCCATCCACGCTGGACCCTCCTTTGCCCATTAAGCTCCGCCTCGTCGGGCATAGGTACAGAGAGGTCTTACCACCATCATGATGGAGGGCCCGGAGGGCTGGCCAGGACGGGACACCGTCGCCATCTTCCAGGGCCTGGCCTCATCTCAGAGCCCCCCTCCTCCTCCGAAAGGGATGAAAATGGGCGCCCCGTTGTCGAGACTCTGAGAGCCACCAGGCCCTGTCCTGGGCCCCCCACAAACGTTCTCTGACTCAGCTGTCCGTCAGAACCCAGGGTAAGAATACACTGACCCTCCCGTTTGATGGATGAGGAGACAGGGGGACAGTGAAGCTGCCCGCTGCGGGCAAGACACAGAGGCCAGGCTGGGGGGAAGAGCTGGGCTCTGAACCCCACTCTGCAAAGCTCGGGGCTTCACACCACCCTCTGCAGGCAGAAAAGGTTGGGGAGCCCCTCTCCCATCCCCATAACTCAGTCAGGGAGAAGCCCGTTCTCTTGTGGGTGGCGGGCATCGGGCCTGGGGCCACCTGGGCGGACCCATGGGCCCTCCCAGTGTGTGATGGCAGTGACATCTCTGGGTCACGATGGGGTCCCCTGCAGGAGCACCCCCACAAGGTACCCAGGGTAGGCTGAGCACCCTCCAGGATCCTCTGCTCCGGTGTCTTCCTGCCTGTCTTCCCTCCCCGGGGATGCGCGTGGGGGGAGGGCCGAGCCTCCAGCGGAGACGGCTGTGGGCACCCTCTCCAGTGCCCTGCACGGAGGAATCCGCCACCGGGGGAGGGACACGACGAGGCTGGATTCCCACTCCCAGCCCCAGCCCAGGAATCATCCTCATTTTCCTGATTGCACAGTGCCAAGGAGCTGGCCGGGCCGCGAGAGGGGTCAGAGGCTGCGGCCAGGCCTCTGAGGTCCCGGAGGCATCCAGCAGCTGTCTGGCGCCCCCCACAGTCCCCACCGGTGCCACTGCGCGACCCCAGCGCAAGCCTCCTGCCGACCCGAGCAGCGACCCCTCCTCCGCGCACTACCGCCGACTGCGTCCCAGGCCGGGAGGGTCGTGGTTCCGAGAGGCGGCAGCTGGAGGCCAGGAGGCTGAGCCGTTGG